CCCCAAAACCCCAAAACCCCAAAACCCCAAAACCCCAAAACCCCATTTATCCCGTACAATACTGAATGCTAACGATCTGTTTGTAAATTATAATCTAGGTTTGGCTCTATTTTGACTTTTTCTGTTTTTTTCCCTTTTTGTAATCTCGTACAAGCATCATCAACTTGACATATTCCTTCGCCTTTTCTTCAGTGGCACCGTAATTTTGTGAGTAATGAGCAACCATTTGGTCCTCACTTAAGTTTTCCATTTTTGTACGAAGCTTTCTTCTCCTTTTATTTTTCACGCTTCTTAGCTTTCTTTTTCTGTAAGAAATCTGCTATCTCTTCAGGAGTTTTAGAAGGAGCAGATTTGGGCTTACTTTGGGAATTTTGCTTTGAATCAGCTGCTGTATCTTCCTTGGGAGGTGCAGCAGGGCTTTTTGTTGTAGATTCAATGTTGTCTGGTTGAGTAGCATTTTTCTGTAGAGTCTTAACATCCTTTTGAGAGTTATTCATATTAGAATCATCTTTATCTTTGTTCTTTATTTTTACTTTTCTCTTTTTATCAACAATTTTAGTCTCGTTTTGTATATCATTACTCTTTACGATTTCTTCATCAATTTTTGCAATGCTTTTATCTTTCTTCTCTTTCTTCGATTTCTTTTCTTTCTTCTCCTTTTTGTCTTTCTTTTCTTTCTTCTCTTTCTTTGACTTTTTATCTTTCTTAGATCTCTTCTCTACCTCTTCATCATCTTCTTCATCACTTTCTTGAGTTTTCTTTTGCTTTTTCTCCTTTTTAGCTTTCTTGGTTTTCTTTGCCTTTTTCTCAGCTTTTCCTGGTTCTTCTTTAATATCTTTCTCCTCCATTTCATTAATATTTTTGGGTTCGTTTTCGATCTCTTTTCCCAGTAATAAACCAAAACCTCCGCTATTGTCTCCATCACCAAAATCAAGCACGAAGTCATCACTGTCTTGCTTTATTTCTTCTTTTTTCTGCTTCTTAGAAATGTTTTGCCATTCGGAACTAATTTCTACAACTTTGGGACCTTCAACTACTGGTGCTTCGGTATTTATCTCAGGCTTATTATGTTCCCACTCAGAAGAATCCATTATTCGTAGCTTATCCTGTTCCTTAGCAGATGCAACAGGCTCCTCCTGAGGCTTCAGGAGGTGCTTACAGTTTGCAATGTTCCGAGGATTAAACCTCTTAATGGTCATTGTCTTATGACGGGAGTCAGACCCTTTAGATGGCTTAAAGAATACCTCAGAAGCAGGAACAATTTGTGACAAGAGAGTGAAGGCCTTATCCTTCTCTGTTTCAATATTGACTTCTTCCTTTTCGCCTACTTTCTTTCTCTTTCGAGTTTTCTCAAGTGTGTCAATTTTAGACTCAAAGATTTTCTGTGCTTCATCTTCTACTTTCTTTTGTGCAACAATGTTCACTTCTCTTTTAGACATTGTACCTAGAACTGTTTTGGAAAGTTTATTCTTGGATAAGTCGATATCCCCAGCAAACCTATCATCAAGTTTAAACCGGTTATCGCCTTTGAAATTCTTCTGCATTTGTAAGAGGACTTGACCCTCAACTCCTTCGAGTTGTGTCTTGTGGAACCTCGAATCGATTTCCTTCTCTTCTTCATGATGGTCCTCGAAATGTTCTTCGGACTCATTGTCGCTAAAAAGCTGGAGTTTGCTCATACACTCCTTTTTTCAATAATTATTTAATATTTTGGGGTTTTGGGGTTTTGGGGTTTTGGGGTTTTGGGG